TTTTAACATAATAAATATTTTTTAAAAGTTACTAATTGTAAATGGTTAAATTCAACGTTAAAGACTACAAAATTTATAAAAGTATGACCTAATTATGCTTTTATTATTTTAATTTAATTTATAAAAATATAGTTTTTATTTTTAAATTAATCAAGTTTTTTGTAAAATTGTGAAATTTTGTGTTTTTTAATTTTATTTTACTTAAAAATTTTAAATTATTATTCTTTATTCAAATATTTGACAAAATTATAAAAAAATATTCCCTAAAAATTTTAATGTTTAAAAGTTAAAAATCTAGTTATTTTAAAAATTTTATGGAAGAGTAAGACTTGAAGAAAAAAAAAATATATTTTGATTTAAATTTAACATTTGAATTTTAAAAAATGAATATTCTAAATAAAAAACTAAAAAAAAGTATGGATTTATCATTTGAGAAATAGGGAATTAGTCAAGTTCCTGAAAGATAAAAGATGTCAAAAGAATAATTTATCAATCAAATTACTTATCGTGTCAATTTTTAATACTAAACACTAACAAAAATAAAAATTTAACGTGACATGTTAAATGCCATGACAAAGGTGAGATTGAATCATGTGATTGTGAATACAAGAAAGAGGATAAGGGACTGAGATCCTCTCAAGTCATCAAGTGTCATGTTCATTACAGAAGTGTGCAGTTCTAAATCTAACTTAAAACATATTTATATGATTTAATTAAATTTAACATTATATTAATATAATTTGACTGGATGACATCTCTAAAAATGTGACCACAGACAATTTATTTTCGAGGACAAGTGTTTATTTAACCTTCTCAACATTGAACAATGCCACCACATGCCTGCATTTACTCTCCTCGTTCCAATTTCTCATTTTCATTTTTAAAAATCAAATTAACTGATATCACATTTTATAAGAACTAAGACAACATTTTACTTAAATTTTCATGTCAATTAAAGGTATGTTGGACAACATTAGCATATAAGTAAATTAAAAGTCAAAACTTTAAAAGCTAAATATTAATATTTTACATAATTGAATTGAAAGTATTTGATAATTTTAGATATTAAACTAAATGATAAATGTGTTAAGGACATAATTAATTATTAAACAAGAACTTAAAACATTTGGTAATTTTATAATTTTGATTAGTTATAAAAGTATATTTTATATTTTTTTTTATTATCTTAAAAATTAAAATATTATTTTTTAATTTTATTCTTATTTATAAACATTTATATTAAATTTATTGAAATAATATATTATTTTATTTAGGTGATTATTTTTTTAAATGACAATATCTTTAAAAAAAACTAACTATTTTTATTTATAAATTTAAATAATACTTTTTACATGTGTTAGTGGTTTGGACATTGAACATAATATAATATTATATATTAAATTTAAAAAAATAAACGAGTAAAGAAAAATTGTAAGAGAATATCAAATATAAAAAAGAAAAAAAATATTTTCTGTTAATAGCTAAAAAAAACACTAATTTGAGTAGCAATTTAAAATATATTAGTAACTATTTTATCTATTTTACTAAATAAATTAAATTTTATTGAATAAATTATTACTTAATAAAACAAATTCTTAAATAAAGATTATTTTATTTTAATATATTATTTTGAGTTTAAATTTTAATAAATACAATTGTGTAAAATGTGTCATACTTGATTCGTATAGAATTATCACTAGTAAAGGATAAGTATAGTCTTAAAAAAAACTATTCTTAATTAATTTAAAATAATACGAAACACACTTTAAAGCTTTGTTATAGCATATAACTTAACTTGGCACGTCACGTGTGCCAATAGTGTTTAATAATAAGAAATGAGTGTATTAAAAAATTGAAGGGTATTTGAGAAATGGTACTTGAAGAGAGACATGTTACAACGTAACCTACTTTCTAACTTTTAAGATCATAATAACGCTTTTCTTTAAGCAACCCCAAGAATGGAACATGAAGAGAAAAAAAAAATGATATTCCAATAACATATCCTAGAAAGTTTGGTCATGGAGATCGAGGTTGCTTTTCTTGTCCTAATAAACAAAAAGTCACACATAGCATTTTAATAACATACACACGTAGGCTTGGACAATGGACATCCTTGTTCCATACTAAATAATATAAAACTCCGTAATGTTTGCGTGAATGCTTAAAGTGCTGCAGATTGTGATTTCTGTAGTAAAATGCAACTAGGTTTTCGCAGCCTCCTGAACACGCTGTTTATATTCTGATGAATTGCCACTTGAGAAATTAAGAAGACACACAGAAACAACAAAAGTCTTGTTGGTGCATTGGTCATAGTCAGCAATATTTAGCCATTCAAGAAAATCCAATTAAATTAATTGCGTAAACCGTGGCTGACTTGGCTTTGACACATCACTGTACGAAGATACTACTGAGAAAACGTGACATACATATAGAAAATACTTGTGTAAATTATTCTTTCACTAATGTCATTTTTTTAAGTTTCGTTGGTATACACGATAATTTTAGATTTTTTTTAAAGAAATTATATGAAAAATTAATATAAAATGAATAATTTTTTTATAAAAATAATTTATTTTTAAAATTTAGAAAAGTTAAATAAAAATAAAAATTATTTATTTTTATACTAATTTTTTTCTTTTGTACAATTTTTTCTGTAATAAACTTAGTTATAATCCATCATATCTTCCATTTTATTGAATCTTTTTCTCTACGTCATTTTGTAAGATGTGAGCTAGACATTGTTTTAGAAATTATTATACTTCTGTATGTCGTAATAATTTGGTTACTCTATATTTTATTGTTATTATTATCCCGTGAGCTATCTCTCTCTCTCTTTTATAAATGAAAAGGGTTATGCGTATAAATTCCTAATACATCATTGTTTTATTTGAAATTGAGTGACTTTCGGGGAGGTCTCTCGTAAACTACAAGATTTTGATATGACTACAACCAAGATTAGCAAAATATAAAAATTAATATTCAATTAACTGTTTTGAAATATGAAGATTATTAAAATTGAATTTGTCTTTTTAATAAAATATTGGATTAATTAAGTGATTGCTCCCTAAAATTATTCTTACTTTTAGTTTAAGTCTATAAAAAAATAATTTGATTTTAGTTCCTATATTTAATGAATAAAGCATGCAATTTTAGTTCACAGTCAATGCCCAAAGACTAAATTCATATATATTTTTAATGTTTTCAAAGGATTCAAACTGAATAAAATTTTATAAGAACTAAAACAAAAAATTGTGATATTTTTAAAGACTGATTACTTAATTAAACCAAAAATATATTTATAAACTCTAATTGTCTATTAATTGTGTAACCCTTAAAGGTATGTTTGAGAAAAGATTTTTGAAGAAAAAGGAGGAGAGGACTTATTTTTATATTTTAAATAAATATATTTAAAATTAATAATTTTTAAAAGTAAAAGATATAAATTAATATAATAACAAAAACTTAATGTATTAATAATATATTTGTTATCCTAAATAATATATAATTCTTTTAATATAAAATTAAAAAATAAGCTTTCTCCTCCTTTTCCTTCTCAAAACTCTCTCCCAAACATAGCCTAAGAGAGCCAGTTGATCAAAATTCGAACTGACGTTTCGTATGCTTTGCTGGTGGGTGAATCCGGTCACAGACTATGGCAAATCTAATTTTCCAGTTTTTTTTATCCATCGCATTAACTCTCTCTCGAATGTTCTTTCCAAATTTGCTTTATACTTTTGTTTTATCATTCTGATCGCACTGAATCAACCACTTAACCATTTAATTTTAAATTTGCTTGACCGGAACAATAACTTACAAATTACACACACACACACACAAAGAAAAACCAGAAATGATCTCTAAAAATGCTAACACTAATCACGTATATATTAAATTTGGATTTAAGACAATTGTTCGGTTTAGATAAGCTTTTAGATAAATATATATAAGAAAAAAATTATAAAAAATAAATAAATTTTTCCTGATAAACTAAAAGTATTTTATACTCCTCAAATTTTAAAAAGTTAAATAAAAATGAGTTTTTAAAAAATAGAGAAACATAAAACTAACTTATACTCCACCCTTTCTCTCTAATTCTCTCCCCTTCAATTATCTTCCTCCTAAATACATCCCACCAAAGAAAGTGTTTTAAGTCTTTTGTTCAAGGAAAGGAATGAGTAGGACTTGAATCCAAAAACAGCTTACAGAGTTATCAGAACCTCTAGTCTTGTCTTCAATGAATTGATAGATGTCAGGTTCGCACTTACTTAGATAGGACACTTGGAGGACGGTTCAAGCATAATCTTGAAATAAAAATAATTGCTTCAACACCTTATTGTGTCCAGATTGAACTAAATAAGATAATGATTAGTTTAATTAAGAAGCATATTGGTTGAAAACTACGCATTTGGCATGGTACACTTATTAAGTTTTGTGGACATCAAAATTCTCCAAAGTATGCTATAGGTAACATGCCTTGTAAGATGGTTGGTTGGTGGTCAATGCTGTTTAGCCATTTGAAATTATTCTTTGATTAGAGGAGATTTTTTTGTGAAGATTATTGAGATTTAATGTTTAATGAACTTGAATATTTGGACAATGCGAGTTTATGTATTAAAAAATATAATTTTATTGAGATATTTTTTTTTAAAATTTTATGATCATCATCAAGTCATACCTTTTGAAGTTTTTGCCGACAGAAAAGAAGTTGAAAAGGATTAAAAAATGGAATTCAAACTGGGAAGGACCATTTTTTTTTTTTGAGAAGAAGCTTATAGAAACACATTCTCTTCAAAAGATCTAACATCTCATGACAGAGTATGGCTTCTTTAAAGTGTGAGATCACCTTTAGAGGATAAAGTGAACCCCTACACCTTAACCTCTAAAGTGCACACTGTACTGTAAGAGAGTCAAATCCTAATCGATAAATGTCAAATAAGCCAATCATATATGAATTCACCATAACGATGTGATTATAACTACAAATTGTTCAAAAACATAAATTAAAAAGGAAAAGATGCTTTAAACTGGACATATGCATCTTTGTCTGCTTCAAGTTGTTCTCCAAGAGTTTTCAGCTGGGTCTCAGTCTCTGCAAGATCAAAAACCAGGTCTTTAGCTTGATGAGCCCATAAGACGCTTCCACTCTTTAATATCTCCCTTTGTTTCCCTCCTTCATTGATAGCCAATTGAAAGGTCTCCCTCTCTTTCTTCAGTTTTGATAATTGTTTTTCAAGTTCTTCAATATATGAAGAAATTTCATTGACCTTTTCGTTGGCATTTGAAATGGTCGTAGTAATTTGCTCCTGAGTGTGTTTAGCTTCTTGAAGTTTGAGAAGGATATTTTCTTTAGCTTGGCTCAGTTCAATTTTCTTGATTCCAGCTATATCACATTCTTTATGGTGCACAACAGCATTGTTGAAGAAGAGTCTGAAGCCCTTTATGAATGTTTGCTGGGCAAGAGAAAGGAACTTCTCATTCTTCTGCAGCTCATCAAGAATAAATAGGACCTTTGACATTTGTTTGTAGTCTGTGGCAAAATTAACTAAACTAAAGGTCTGAATCAAGTCTTTCAGTTCTTTAGACAAAGCATCTACAGTGGAGCTTTGAACTTTTGGTGGTTCTGATTGAGTAGTAGATTGCTGAGTCTTAGAAAAGGAAACATTCCCTGATAGGATATATTCAAGAGCACTCAAAGGGTCATCTTCGATCATCTTGTTAATAGCTTCTAGATTGAGTGGGACGTTTACAGTAGAGACTTCATCAGTTATAGGGTAAACTTGATCTGGAGATTCTTGATTCTTGCTGGAAGCAACCTGTTCTTGAGCATTCGCTTCAGGAGGGTCAAACTTCCCAACAGCTTCAAAAAGGTTTTCACTCAACATTGGGTCAGCAGTATTTGTATTTTTAATATGTGTTGCATCAATGTTGGCTGGCATAGCCGCAGGAGGATCTTGAATTTGATGAGGGGGCGATGCAACAGCAGAGCTTGAAATTGCAGCAGTTGAAGGCTCATTAGGAGCAGTCTGCTTTGATAATGATGGAGAATTGCTCGTTTTACCGGAAGCCATCTTTTGAGTTAGTCTTTTTCTTTGGTAGATTACTAGGCCGTCAACATCTGAAGAGACTTCTTTGACATCTGCTTGTAAATTTTCTGCTGCAGGCCTCTGTTATGATTGAAAGAAAGGTAAAAGTGATTAAGGAGTAGAGGTACTTGGCATGTAGTGATGTAAGTAATTTTACCTGCATTAATTCCTTGGACTGAGATTCTTCATGCACATTTTTTATGGTTTTATCTGCCACATGCTTTATTCTTTTAGATCTTCTGGGTGTTGATAACTGATTGGAGGTCTTCTTGATTCTGAAGCTGCTAGGCTGTGAGCAAGAAGAAATTCAGCACAAGACAATGAAGTCAGTTTATATGATTTAAAGAATCCGGAGGAGAGTTACCTTTGCTTCTTGTGGTATGCCAGGTTTCAAAGGTCTTGAAGCTTCACCCATGGGAGTAAAATTTTTGGACTTCTTCCTCGCAGGTTTGTAGTTGGATTCTTGTTTTTCAGGAGGATCCATCAGTTTGATTACTTTTGAAACTAGAAAGAAAATCACTTTGGTTAAATTGAAGAAGCATAAGACAAGAATTATATTGCATGTATCCAACGGAAGGAAGTTTCAGTATTTGGATATTTTATGAAGAGCGTTGAAATAATATAGGTAGAGCTTGGTAAAAATTACTCTATTCCTTTTTGGTTCCTGACAAACAGCTATAGCTTAGCTCAGAAGGTCAGGATGCATATCAACCTTGCCAGAGGGAGCATTAGGTAGTGCAAGAAACTTTGGAAACCGTTTCACAAACTCCTTGTATTTAAGCTGTAGCTTTGACAACAAGGCCATGATGAAAGAGAATTGAAGATGGAAAGTAGTTCTAGATGACAAATGAGTTAGAAGCAAAAAGCCCAGAAAGGTCAATGAGACCATTATCAATGAGACCAGGAAAAACTCCAGTTCATAAAATTCCCAATCGTTTTAAGTTACGAACTAAGTGGAAATTCCCAGGAAAAACAAAGAGCTATACTCTTTAAAATTATATGCTCTGTAAGCTAGATATTATATATCTACACAATATGCATGAACATACATCACTATCAGTGGGCATGAAACTGCAACTGTGTATTATATAATGTACAAGAGTACAAAAACATACAGCTTCATTTTGTAAACCAAATTCTTACCAGATCTTGTCTTTATTTTATCAACTTCAGCACAAAAACCTGGTTGAAGCACCAACGGTGACTGACGTTTAAGGAGTTCTGGTGAACATTCAGGCAGTTGGCATCGTGAGTTTGAAGGTCGTTCTGGATTAGCTCTGGGATAGTTGGTATCAGTAACAGGCTCTGCATTGTTATGCGGAGTAGACCCAACAGTGTTAGCTTTCAGATTACTCACTACCTGCTCAAGATAATCATTCCATTAAGGTGAGCTCATTTTGGGGGCCGGTTGGGGGTAAGGGAGGCTGCGAAAAATGTGGAGGGAAACAAACCATAATACCATGCTCCCCAAAAAAATCATGACAAGACCATCTAAACATAATCATGGAGTTTTGAAAATACAAGACCATTGAGAGATGTTTAAAATTTAAATAAGTAACAAGATGAGCGAGACTGTAAATATCATTACCTCAAGATGCTGAAGAGAAGTAAGGTGTGCACTTATAGACTCCATAACAACATTACAAACCTGGCAAACAGGCTGACGAAATTCATTATACCTGCATACATATGCGGATACGAACAGTCAAAATATTATCAGGTACAATTTTATGCAAAAAATGGGCATGTTTTATGAAAATTAAACAAATAATAGACAAAACAAAAGCACAAGAACGCACAACTTTATGTCAGCAAACATATGAGTAGCGACAATCAAATGAAAATCGTAACAGGAGAAAATGTAGTTATTTGTACACATTGTTGCAAACTCAAATATAGCTACCAACACATACTAAGCAGAAAATTAACCAAATTGATAAATGGGCAAAACTCAATACATAAGCAGAAGGACAATATTGTCATTGTCATACGAACAGAACGAAAAAAGAAAAAAAGTAAAAATTGACGGGTATGCTTGTAACTAAAGCAGTACAATGGTAACAGAATAACATTTCCTCATGCAAAGTTTGTGAACGAAGAAAGAAAAAAATGAAGTCATTATAGATATGGATAGATGAATGAAATGCACAAAGTAGTACCAACCTCACAAGGGGGAACACTGTGCACTTTTCTTTCTTCTGGGCATGACGTTTAGCACGAGACCATCCCTTTTTCTTGATCTGTGTTGACATGTTTCTGTTCTTCGGAAGAAGAGTGTAGGGTAAAAGGAAAATGACTGAACAAAGCAACCAACTTTGAGCAAAAACCCCAATACCCAGATAATTTTGAACTGTTAATCTGTCGAAATTATATCCAAATTAGTTCTATATACGTTACCTCGAAAAAAGATACAAGAGCCCGCGAAATTGTAACCGGGTTATTTAACCCGACCCGAACCGGTTATAGGAAAAACAAAAAACCTTTAAAAAAAGACACGGTTTGTGTGTGTTTGGCAACGAAAGAGAAAATGGAGAAAGGCAAATATTTAGCATTGGTGGGAGGAGGGGCTTTTTTGGGCTCTGTCTCCACCTTCTTTCTTCTTAGGCTTCTTCAATCTCAAAAGTATGTGAGTTCTTCTTCACCAATATCTTCTCTCATGTACCCTTCTTGAACTGAACTATTTTTTGTTTTGTCCTAAGTATATACAAGAAGGGCTGGTGTTAGAATAACGTTTATTACTCAAAAATCGAAACTTTGCCTTATGGGTTGGCTGGATCAGTTTGATCAATTTTTGGGTCCTTGAGTAAAGGGATATTTTCTTTTTATGTAGTGTTCAGTGGATTTATTTATTGTTTAGGCCTTTGAAGTTTTTATTGTTATTTGGATGGTGCTGAATGTTTTTTGTGATGTTTGCAGAAGAAGTTTAGGGCAGTGCGGTAAGAATGTTATAGCTGACTTAAATGGTAAGTGACCAGGAAATGTGGAATTTAACTATGAAGTGATTAACTGTAACCACTTGTCTCCAATTTCTTTGTTATGACTCTATGTAGTCCTGTTTGTGAACGATCATCTTTGCCAAAAATTATCTTTGCTTATAAAATTTGTAAATTCGCATACTCGTAAATCAATAAAATTAATGAATTGAAGTTGCAAGTAGTCACCATCGATCAGTGCTTAAATTCTAAATGCTGACATTTTGTAAATTTTGATATTTTAGTCCTGATATAATTACAAATGTGAGAGAGAGAGAGAGAGAGAGAGAGCGGAAAAAGAAAAAGTCTGCATGCATACGATAGTTTTTAAATTTGTAGTGCTTGTAGAGCAGGTATTCCTTGTAATAGTTAGTTTATGAGGTGATCAGAGGTTGAAGGCACAGAGTGTATGCTACCTGTTATAGGCTTACAGCTCACATCCTGCCGTTTTGTTACAGAATCATGTGGCATATGTCAGCAATTAGAAACAAGTTCTGATACACGAGTAACACGACTATTGTTCCTATCTGCCTAAATCCTACTTTCACATTATAGGTTAATGAGACTGCTGTTCTGTGTGTCCTTATATAAGTGTTGGACTTTGCATCTCATACAGGTTTTGAGGGATGCACTTTTACTGAAAAGAAGAATGATAAAGTGGTTGATAAAGATCTTTTGAAAGATGAGATTGTTTCAGAACAGCTGACTAGGTATTGCAAATTTTGTTGCCAGCTAATTTGAAATTTTCTCTTAATAAATTATTTCTGAATGTAACTTTGTTTTGATTTGTTAAGTTAACTGGTAGAACATGCTCCTGCAATCTTATTTCTATTAGACTGTGAGCTCTTTTGTTTGTGTATGACAATTTTAGCATTCATACATCAGTTATCAATATAATTGGCTACTTGGCCATCAGTTTTAGTGCTAATTATTGTAGTTTGTGGCTCTTGACATATAATTCAGGCTGGACATGGCATGAAAGATTTTTGCCTTGCATCCCAAGGCATGTTTATGCTTTGTGTATTGTCTCATGACTCCCACCATATTTTAGTTATTGCATAGATTTGTTGCGTGTTTCTCTGGCTTGCTTCATGTGAGTGAGTTGAGTGGGGAGAAACAAAAAAATTTAGGGGTCTTGTATTTTGGTTAGTGGAGCTGGGGGAAGTTTTCTTCTATTTAATTTAGGGGGAACCAACACGTCACCTGCAATGCTTAAAATGCCTAAATTTTCTTTTATTACATTTTTTCACTCATGACATGAAACATGGACAGCACTTTCTTGATAGATCTCTATTTTCTTGGATTTCTACTAATCAAACTGTTTTTGGGTGAAATGTTAATGCTGTGACTAGGAACATTCAATTTTTTGGCTTTGAGTCTCAGCAGAAAGTGACTTCATCATATGTTGTGGTCATTGGTCTTGGAGGTGTTGGTAGTCATGCTGCTTCTATGCTCTTGAGGTCAGGGATTGGCAAGCTTCTTCTTGTAGACTTTGACCAGGTTTTTTTCTCAGATTGATTCTCTCCTTGATAATTCTAATTTGTCATGGCTGAAGATTTTGATGCCACTGACAAACAGGAAAATTGTAATGATGTTGCATTGTGAAATGCAAATGACATGCTCTTAATTATATTTGGAGATTCCTTTCTTGATTTTAGCTGGAGATGCTACATATTGTATGCATTAAATAGTACTGGAACATGATAGATATAAGTGCTGGAATATATTACTGTAAAGGTCAAAGATGCAAATTTATCAACTACCATAGTTTAAGAAAGTGAGAAACTGGAGTTTTGATTGGAAAAGATTTTATGTTACTTGATTCCCTGGCTTTTTAGTTATCATAAAGTACAGTACTTAATAATTATTCTAATCACATCAAATGTCAATCTCTGCAAGTCTTTCTTGTTATTTACTGTAGTGCATGGCTCAAGAACCCCAAGCCAAAAGCTTGCTAGAAATATTATTAAACAATATTTGCCTAGCTCTAGATTGTGTAGGCATTCCATTATCCATACACTATTTGTACTTATTTATTTGTTAAATGAGAAGGTTTCTCTTTCATCACTAAATCGACACGCTGTTGCAACAAGAGCAGATGTTGGCATCTCAAAAGCTCAGTGCCTTAAGGAGCATTTCTTGTCTATCTTTCCAGAGTGCCAAATAGATGCAAAAGTGCTATTATATGATTCATCTACTGAAGAAGAAATTCTCTCAGGCCACCCTGACTTTGTTTTGGATTGTATTGATAACATTGATACAAAGGTACACTGTAAAGATTACTCGTTATTTGACTATATTGTTGTATGTTTGTGCAGCCCTTTTATCATATAGACATTTGACACTCGCCAGTTGTCCGAACTCTGGTGTTTGGTGCTAATGATTCTTGTGTATTCAAGTCTTTTAATTTTCTTTCAGTTCTTTAGCTTTCTAAGCTGCAAAAATGTAAAATTTTGGGATGCATATGTGAATGTCACCTGCTGGATATTTTATATTTGTGCACATGCCTACTATATGACTTGGCTGGCCTGGAATGTTTATCTCCTATGCTCCTTACCGTTAACAATTCAAGTACTTGGTTGTCATATGTCTGAGCTTTCAATGCACGTTTTGCCATGTGTAATAGGTGGCACTTCTTGCTGCATGTGTACGTAGGGGTTTGAAGGTTCTATCGGCCACTGGGGCTGGTGCCAGAGCTGATCCAACAAGAATACGCATTGCTGATCTAAGAGAGTCAACTAATGATCCACTTTCTCGATCTGTAATATTACCTTAAATGCTTCCTTTTTACAGTATTTCCTAGAAATTTAACTGTATCTATAATTGTTATGGCAGTTTAACATAACTTCACGTTCCCTCCTGTAGATGTACATCCCAAAATCCCGATATCCCAAAAGTACATTAATATATTGCCTTTCCACTCCATTTTCAATTATGATTTACATGTTTAAGAGCAAATTTTTATAGAAAGGTGCACTTGTGTGCACAAAGAAAATTATTGTACTTTCTGTTTTCTTTTTTAAATTTAAACTGTCTTGTTAATAATCATTGATAAAAAGGAATCACTTCATTTGTGTGACCACAAATTCCAGCTAGGTGGCAGGTAGATCAGAACTGATTTGACTTCATCTTATGATTTTCTTTGTTCTTAAATTTGTATTAGCTACATAACTCGTTCTGCAATCATAACTATGTAGGTGAGACACCGTTTGAGGAAAGACTATGGCATTGAAGGTGGTATCCCTGTTGTGTTTTCTTTAGAAAAACCCAAAGTTAAGCTGCTTCCATTTAAGGGTCCAAGTGGAGAAGACGAAAACCCTTCAGATTACCAGGTGAGTTCATTAGTTTTAGTCACCCAGTAATTGTACCACTATCAATGTTGTGATTGTTCAATAATACTGTGATCCTTCTAGTGGTTATTTGCATACTTGCTTTAGTAAGATGCTCAGCGGAACCTTGCAATAAGCTATATCATTTACCTATAAAACATATAACTGTTTAATTATCAAACATTAAGCCTAACTTTTTTTTCTTTTGTCAAACCATTGCTCATTGTTATCATGGCATTTAGTGGCGCTAGCTACATATTCTGACTTCTTGGTCCACTTGCCAGATAGTACCAGGTTTTAGGGTCCGCATCATACCTGTCCTAGGTACCATCCCTGCAATATTTGGACAATTCATGGCCTCCTATGTTGTGACAGAATTAGCAGGATTGCATGTTCAAACAGAACCTGTTGTCAATTTTGACATGGATCATTACCATACTCTTCATCAGCGCCTTATTGAGCATGAGGAGTCTGTGTATGGAACATCCATGGAAGTGCAGGTATGAAGTTTACACCGTTTAACTTTTGTTTCATTACAACTTCCTTGTTCAATGTGATATCTTGACCTTTTCAAGATATTCTTTTAAAATGAAGAATCAGTTGTTTTTACATCTCTATTTATTGATGTGCACATGACCCCTTTATACAATCAAGCAAAGTCCTTCTAATGACTTTTTGCAATGCTAACCCTCTTTTCAAAGTTCAAAGTTAATGATTAACTAACAATTAGTGGTAATATCTTGACAAATGAAAAGTAATCAGAGATCAACGAATAAAAAATATTAAAGGATTGAATATTCTTTTATTTTTGATTTTTTTCCTGTTTTATAGGTAGATGTTGAAGAAGTGATGTATATTGTTAAAGAACTATGGCATGGAAGAAGTGCTAGAGAGCAGCTTGTGAAAGATGTTGGGCGAGGAATGTGGCGATCAGTAAATGAATTAATGCTTGTAAGGTACAAAGTGGATTTTGACTCCATTTTCAG